GGTGTGGCTCAGAGGCACAGTAATTGCCTGGCATGGAGGGGCGGAGGTCTTAGGTTTGATCCCCAGGACTTCCAAACCAAGTGAATTGCAATGGAGAACTCCCACCACAGCAGCCCATGAAGCAACCACAAAATGCTTCCAAATGGAGGTGAGAGAAGATGCTGCTGGTTTATACCCCTCTATTATCTTTTGTTGTTGGTTGGTTGGTTACAGGGTTTCTCCATGTAGCCATGGATGTCTTGAAACTCTGTGGACCAGGCTAGTCTCAAACTTACAGAGATCTGCCTGCCTCTGCCTCCCACGTGCTGGGGTTAAAGGCAGGTGCCACCTCTGCTGACTTAAGGCCTATCTTTAAGGTCTTCTTTCTTTAAAGGGCCTGGGGGAGCAGGCAGGAGCTGGGAGGAGTGGGGAGGAGCAGGGTGGAGCAGGAGTGGCAGGGAGGAGTGGGGAGTGGCAGAAAGTGTCAAAGGACTGCTGGCCCTGGTGTTTCCATTAACTAGCGCTGTTTTCACACTTTACCATCTGTAAGAAAGGTTACTCAGTTTTTCCTCTTGGGGAAAAAGTAAATAGGAAGCCAGGTAAGGTGGTGCTTATTCTGAATCCAGTGCTGGGGGCAGGGGCTGGTGAGTCTCTTTAAGTTCAAGGTTAGCCTGGTCCACAGTGAATTCCAAGCCAGCTAAAACTATGTAGTGAGATCCTGTCACAAAACAAAACAAAACAGACACCCTAAAATGAATAAACAATCAATTTTAAATGACAGTTCAGGAAAAGAACTTAAGAAACATCCCAGTAACCTTGCATGCATACTTTAAATTTTTAAAATCATTTATAGTTCATACTAAATACTAGGCTCAACAACGTATGCCACAGTGTTTCCTGAACAACTTTTAGTTTTTGTTTTGTTTTTTGGGGGGGACTAGAGAGATATTTTTAAAATAGTGCTTAATTTGGGCACACAAGAAATCTTTTAGGACTTAGAAACAAATACCTTGTGTTGTAGTTTTAAGACATGAAGGAAATCTCTTTCAGAGCACTTGATAAAGTTATGGTTTATGAGGATTAAAGTGTCTCTTGGAGGCGGTGGTGGTGCACGCCTTTAATCCCAGCACTTGGGAGGCAGAGGCAGGCAGATTTCTGAGTTCGAGGTCAACCTGGTCTACAGAGTGAGTTCCAGGACAGCCAGAGCTACACAGAGAACCCCTGTCTCGAAAAACCAAAAAAAGTGTCTCAGTAGTAAAAACTATCATCATTTCATGGATTTTGAGAAATGCCTATCACACGTGTTTTTTGAAAGAGTGATGTGTCAAATTCTAAGAAACGTGTCATCTCTCAGAGGCCATGGGGTGGATGGGGCATTGTGTCAGTCCTGAGTCTTTGATGCAGCAGTTAATTCTGGCAGCTCTGGAGACTGGAAGTCTGAAATCAGCATGGCCTCGGGGTTGGGCTCCTGGTGACAACCTCCCCTTCCTTGTGTTTTTTTTTTTTTTTTTTTTTTTTTGGTTTTTCGAGACAAGGTTTCTCTGTGTAGTTCTGGCTGTCCTGGAACTCACTCTGTAGACCAGGCTGGCCTCGAACTCAGAAATCCACCTGTCTCTGCCTCCCAAGTGCTGGGATTAAAGGCGTGTGCCACCACCGCCCGGCTCCTTGTATTTTCTTGGATTGAACTTTCAGGTCTCTTTCATATACAGCCACACCAAAGTACCGTATACACCTACAGGTGAAATACAGGCCCAAAGAATGCCATGTTTAATTTGAACATTAACTATGAAGCCGCATTAAAGTCTCTGGTTCACTTTCTGTATCTGTAAAGATGGAAACCAAAACTACAGAATTTAGCTATGCAGGAGTGTGAACAGATATGTTTTATACAAATGTTTTGAATTTTCAAGATTATACCATATATATCAGTATAGAAGCAGAAGAGAAGGGTACAGCCAATTCTCAGAGTCACGATTTCTCAATTGCCTCATCTTAAAACTTTTCTAAAGTTATTTTTGTCTCATGTATATGGGTGTTTTGCTTGCATGTATGTCTGTGCACCACATGCATGCCTGATGCCCTCAGAGGTCAGAAAAGGGTGTCAGGTACCCTGGAACTGGAATTAGAGATGAGTGTGAACTGTCCTGTGGATGCCGTAATCAAGTTCATGTCCTCTGAAAGAACGGTCAGTGCACTTGACCACTGAGCCATCTCTCTAGCTCCTGATTTCTTTTCTTAAAACCAAAGACATTCAGGTCAGGAAGATAGAAAAAGGTCAACTTTAAATATCACAGGCATTTTCCTCTGTTGTCTAGCTATGGTCTGGAAAAGTGGCTCACTCCATGAAATAAAACTTTGAAAACCTTTGTTTCTTCTCTGCCTAAAGCTTGCATTTTGAACCCCATGTCAGCTAAGAGGTCCTCAGACATGAGAATTTATCAACGTCCTTTGGCAGCCCAGGATATCTGTCCTTGAGTTCATCATAACATCACCTCCACAGCCTCTGACACAGAATGTGTGTGCTGTTGGAGTGTCCCAGGTGATGGCTGCAATGCTTGCATTCTGTATCCCCGGGGTCATGTTTTCACTGCTAATAAAAGCTGTTTTTGGTTGTTGAACTTGATTTGAGTTCTGTTAGAACACTTGCAAATAGTAATCAAACCAAATTAAAAAAAACCCACCCCTTTATGTGTATTTAAGTTTGTCTTTTTATTTTGAGATAATTTGGGGTTATGAGATCTTTTGAAGTATTCAGTCATGGTTTTAACAGTCGAAATCAAAGTACTACTGTAACTTTTCCTTTTGGGCGTCTTATGAAACTACTTTGTTCTCGGACTCCATGATTAGCTCATCATTCTGGTCTCAGGTAGATTAACACATTCTCTAAAGGGTCTGAGCCACCCAATCTGCAGACCACCCACACCTTCTAACATTAACTGTGTAAGACTGCCACAGCTGTAGGTACACTATCAGATCATTTGCTTCTTGGGAACTTCCTGTCATCAGGGTAGTAAACAGACTAGCGTTGAGGGTATGACGACAGCCCTTTCCTAGGACGTCGGCCACTGCTTGGCTCACAGGATTCTTGTTCATCACCTCAAGCAAATCAGTGAAAAGCAGATCCATTTAAGCCCCATCAGGGTCCACCTTGTGGATTTCCTGAGGTATCCCTGTGCCACCTACTCTATCAACAAGAAGATGTCTTTCCACTTTAGAAAGGAAGAAAGAGAACCAAGCGGAATCTCTGGGGCTAAAACCTAGTCTCCTACTACTGAAATTACAGATTAGCCTCTCCCATCCTTCCCAGTACCTTCCTGCACAATTAATCACTGGGTGACACAGAGCTCCAATAGTTCTTGTAGTTACTAAATGTGTGAGCAAAGCAGAAAAAATATCCAGAGGTCAAATGAGTGGGTGCAATCTGCTCACAGATCCCTGAACAAACAAGGGCTGGGTACATTAGTGCCGATCTGACTCTGTGGCTCCAGAATTATTTAGAAAAGGGACCAATTGCCATTAAGTACATGACTGTCTAGGAAATAACCCTAGATGCAGCTGCCTTAGGGACCACCAGTCTCAATTTGGGGAGAGTTTGTGAACTGTTGTGCATTTTCTTTTACATGCCTCTCCCCTTTCTTACTAGCTGGGTTTTTTTGTTTGTTTGTTTGTTTGTTTTTCGAGACAGGGTTTCTCTGTGTAGCCCTGGCTGTCCTGGAACTCACTCTGTAGATCAGGTTGGCCTCAAACTCAGAAATCCGTCTGCCTCTGCCTCACAAGTGCTGAGATTAAAGGCGTGTGCCACCACAAGCCGGGCACTAGCTGGGTTTAAATGAGTCTCCTCCCTTCCTTCTTCCCACCCCCCTTTTCTTTCTACCCCATTAAGTTTTAAGCTGGAAAAGCCAAGAAGAAAAGACATGAAGGATATTGCCAGAAACTTCAGAAACAGTAGTTCCCAATCTGTGGTTCTCGACCCCTTTGGGGGTTCAAACGATCCATTTATAGGGGTCACATAGCAGATATTTGCATTATGATTCATAACAGCAGCGAAATTACAGTTATGTTGCAGCGAAGAAATCATTTTATGGTTGGGGAGTCTCTACAACATGGGAAGCCGTAGCTAAGCCGTAGCTACACTGTCCTAGCATTAGACTGGGAACCACTGTAAGGCGCCTGTCTTACCAGACAGCTTCTTTGACTCGTTAAGCAAGTAGGTTCAGATGACCTTTGCCCTGACACTGGTGGAAAACAAAACGATAATTTCATTTGCAATGCACATTTCCCAAGATTGTCCCACCTTTCCCCTTACTCTCATTCAGTTCTCTCTGACCTTCTGTGTGGAGACTGCAGGAAGCCAGTGGATGTGGTGAACATCTGGCAAAGGTCAAGGGGGCGGGGACCAGGGATTTTACAGGGCAAGGTGTGGGCTGGTAATCCCAGTCCGGCCCAGAGGAAGAATTTACAAAAGGGCACACCCAGTTCCCTGTTGGAGGAGTCACCCTCCTCAAAAGATTGCCCAGTAAGTCATACCTGAGCGAGCTCTGAGTGGGACTCTGACACAGTCTGTTCAGGGAGCGGCGTGGGAAGCCCACGAGATCCCTGGTACGTCCTCTGCCCGGCAGGTGACTTGAACCATGTACTCTGGAATTGAGGCTGAGCCAGGAAACGTCCTCCTAGATCAAACCCTGGAATCTGTCCTCAGCAAGCATCCCGAATTTCCCTGCCTCACACTCAGTACGACGTAATCAACATTGGGCTGGCCCGGGGACCAAGAGGGCGTCACCTCTGTCCTGCTCCCACTTGGGCTTCCCCAAAGAGTCTGGAGTGCAGCGGGCACAGCTAAGTATTTACTGTCCCGTTGGTGAGACAGCCGACTGGACGACTGGAATACTAAATGACTAACTAGAAGACCGCCTTGAGAATCCGCACATTTTTCCCGAGACTAGTTGTGTCTCGAGACCAAGCATCTGGGCTCCCAGCTACCCAAGTGACCCAAGTGTCCCACCGCCGGGGCTGACACTCACCTTCGTGGCAGGGCTCTCCGGGTGGCAGCCTCAGCTGTGCCCCCATGGCCTGGGGACCGGGCTTCCTCCGTGCTAGCAATAGTTTCTCACACACCAGTGTCCCGGGACCCGCGTTCGTTCGGGCGGAGCAGTGGAGTCAGCGAAGGGTGTGCGCTGTCTCCGCCCCCGTGACAGCCTCAGCCAATGAGAGTGACTAGGTGGGGCTTCAGGGTGGTTTGAGACTCATTTTCCGCCCACTGCTTGTCGCCGCTGGAGTTCCTTAAGTCGCCAGTGTCTGCAGGGTGGAACCGGAGCTGCACAGGTGCTTAGTCCAGAAACACCTGTCCAGGAAGCGATGAGGTCACAGCGCGGATGCTGCCGAAGCCACCCGGGGAATTTAGTGATGGAGAGGCTGTCCTGAGGCCCCCTTCTGGCTGTCCGGGAGCGGACGGAGTGCTGGCCGGCGTCTGTGGGACGTTTTCATCACTGACTTTTGTGAGGCAAGGCGCGGTCTGCTGGAGTTCTGCTCTGAGTCCGTGCTAAAGTTTATTCTGGGATTTTTTCAAACAGGCTTGGTGCTTCTGCTCCCTTATGCACGCCGTTGTCTTCCTTGTCTTACAATACCCGTGCCTACCTGTTTTCAACAAGCAGGCATCTCCCTCTCCACCCGCCCGCCTTATCTCCACGCCCAGTCATGGAAGAAAGAAGCTTTTCAGGGATCAGCAATGTCCAAACTGAGAAGACTTTTGCCCACGCTGAAGTTCATGATATTTTAGCAGCACACTACATAACGTACATGAATAGATTCATTACGTCGCACAGCACAATTTATTAACTCAGGTTTGCAGGTGTGGTGAAGTAACTTAGCCAAGAGGTATTTATACTTCAAGAATTGGTCACACTTCCTGCTGAAGCCCACAGCAGGAAGAGCTGAGAGCAAGAGCGTGCGTGCTTGTGGGGTGCTTTTGCGCCCTGGCACTTGAACGCTGTGCTCCCATCGGCTCTAGGTATTCATGTGCAGCTAGTGACTTTATTGCCTAAGAGTTTCACTGCAGAGATCCATCTTGCTTTTCTTGTTTTTAGGCTTATGAGACAAAACTTAAATCCAAGTTAGTCAATAGTCTAGGATGCATACTTTTTTCCGCGGGCGTGACTTGTGAAAAAAGAATAGGGCGGGGACAAGAACAGGTGAAAGTGGCAAGGACCATTTAAGCCAGTTTTGGATAGGGAGCCTTGTGAAGTAGACATCTATTTAGATGCTTTCTTTGGACTTCAGATTTCAAGTTTTGTCTTCATCACAGATTGGCAATGATAATAAATCTGATCTGAGGTGCTTATTACTATTTAACAAACATCAGTTACTATGTGGCAAACCCTACCCTAAGCTCTTTATAAAAAATTGTTTAATTTATATTAGAATCATTCAAAATGATAATAGCTGTTATTTTCCACTTTATGCTTTATAGCTTCACTTGAAAAACAAAGCCTTGAAAATGTTCCTTTGAGATTCATTAGTTTTCTTTGTTTGCACACGAATGCACACATGTGCATGCAAATGAACATGTGGGTGTGTCTGTGGAAACCAGAAGAGGGCATTGAGCATTCTCCTCTATCACTCTTTATTTCCTCCATGGGGCCTGTCATTGAGCCCGAGCTAGGCTAGTCAGCAAGCCCCAGAAATCCTTCAGCTTCTGTCCCCCGGCATGCTGGGCTTATGGGTGTAAACCATGTTACCGTTTTTTTATGTGGGCTCTGGTTCTCATGCACAGGCAGTAAGTGCTGTTACCTTCTGAGTCACCTCTCTTGCACGTTGAGATGACAGTCTGTTTTTGGCAGGAAGTACTTTGCTATAAATCTTATTTATTTCAGTTCTGAGTGTGTGAGAAAACCCTCTGGGAAAAATAAGCAAACTTGCTCAAGGTCACTGCTTGGGACAGCCCTAGCCCAGTGTGTCCTAGGCAGAAATCAGTCATGAATTCCCCTCACTCATTATTTCTAGATGAATAGATATGTGGATACCACACAGGATGTCACTGGTGGACTAATTGGGGGGTGGGTGTTATCCCCATCCAAGAATATATTATTTAATTCAATGAGGAATAACATCTAAACATCTTTAATGAACCCACTCTGGAGTTTTGAAATCCTTTTATGACTCAAAACTTAGAACATGACAGTAAACAAAGCCCTCTAAAAGGGAGGCTCACACTTGCTGGGCTTTCTTTGTGCAAGGTCTCTAGACCCAGTGATGATCGTGAAAACTGGAGATTGGAGTGCCCCAGAGCTAGAGGACAATGCAAAGCCACACTGTTGTAGCTTGGGCAGGTCTGCAGAGTGCCTCTGTGTGAGCCTTTAACCTCCATTGCCATGCTATGGGGGAGTTTGCCACTATCTGGCAGGAGGTGGGGACAAGGCAGAGGGGACAGCACCTGGGAGGCAGGATGGAGGGTAAGTTGTAGACATGCCATGTGTAGCACTAGCTTACTGCTCTTAGTTTATTATTGCCCCTGACCCCAATAAGTCTATTTAAGGGGTTATCGATTTTAAAAATCTTTCTGAGAAGCAACCGCTTTTCTTTGCGGACTTAAAATTCACTGTCTCCTGTTCTTATTTTGAATACCTTCTTCCTTATACTTTGAATTCAATTTATGTTCTGTATTTTTCAATGTGAACTTTCAGATCACTGTTTTTAAACATTTATTGTCCTTTAATATATGTATTTAAGGGGCTGGGAGATGGCTCAGCAGTTACGAGTGCATGCTGATTTGGAGAGAACCCGAGTGTGGTGCCCAGCACTTACATCTGACAGCTCATAACCATCTGTAACTTCAGCTCAGGGGAACCCAACATCCTTGGTCATGAACCTCCAGGAACTGCTGACTTAACTCCAAGTACGACGATAGCATCATCACATACATTTTGATGTGTTGTGCTTTTGTTAACATTCAGGTCGCAATTATTGATTTCTAAGTAAATACCTGGTACTTCCAGAGCTGCAGTTCCCGTTTCCTTTGGGTTGACCCTAACTACTAAAGCACATCTAAGAAAATGTGGAAGTCTTTCACTTAGTCTGGAGACTATTAGGAGACACACATACAGCTTTGTTTCCAAATCTCCCTCCACCCCAGTCAGTTATGATGGCCTTTCCATCCTGTCAAACCAAATAATCCTGTCTTGAATTGCTTTAAGTCAAACAAGTCCAGAATCATCCTATAGTCCCCCTTTTATCCACACCTCAGCCAACCAATCAGCTGATCTTATTGCCTCTGCTTTAAGTCTATATCCAAAATCTGACCCCTTCCTCCACCCCTACTCCCCCCCGCAATGAGTCACTGTCACCTCTTCCTGAATTACTGCCACAGCCTCCTAACTGTTTCCTGCCTCACCACCTCCCTAACTCCCTCTTCCCCTCGCTTAAGACAATCTGCTTTTCTTTGACAATCCAACGAGATCCTGTCTCTCCCCCAAGAAGTGGCCATGGCTAGCCCTGTCAGAGCACACAGATGCCCCCTAAAAGAAGCCTGTCCTGGGCACCGCCTCATGTCACCTCTCCCCTTTTATCACCTCACATATCACATGTGATTTATGTGTGCCCTGCTATGTTGATTCTGTCTTGACATCGTCAGAAGGCTCGCTTCATGAGGGTAGAAATGTAGTTTTGTTAGCTGTTAACTTTCTAGCGCTTAGAAGAGGGCCTGGTGCTTCGTAAGTACTTGAATGAATAATTAGGCATTGTAGCGAGCCATACCCCACCTGCAGAGTAATAGACAAATAATGGACAGGGTCCTAAACGCAGAGGGTTTATGGTACTTAGAGGGAAGATAATTATTTAGCTGTTAAGCAATTAATTACACAATCTTTAATAGTGATCATAAAGACCAAGATGTCGTTAATTGGCTCTGCCCGCCGAAGGTCTTGGTGGGTCGGGAGACAGATTATTAAATACTTAAGAACACAGACTCAAGAGCCAGAACTTCTCAAATCAAATCTTTTTTTAAACAATGAAAATCTATAACCAGTCAATTCCATGCTAATGAGCATCTGCAGTTACAGGCACTTTAAACAGGATTATGAGGACTTAGAGGAGCTGACAAAGCAGGACAGAGGGCGGGGATGAAAGTACAAATTAAGTCGATAATCCGTGCGGCTCTGTTCTTTCTGTCAGTCAAGGTTACACAGCGGGTCCCAGGAAAAGAAACTCGATGACAGGGAGACTGGGTCTAGCTAATCACACCGTGGAGGGGGAAATAAAACTACCCCTATTATTCTGACGCCTTTAAACTCGAGTCCACTGGAGAATCTCCTATTATCAGTTTCATGTATACAGACAAAAATTTCTACATAACTTCAATTTCAGCAAAAATCACACCTCTCCCCAAAGCCTTCTAGTTCACTTCCCTTCCTTCTCAAGAATTTGGGCTCCTTGCATATGGTCCCTCAGGTCTGCATCCCAATATGTCTTAATAGTGTCTCTCCTCGACACAGTCTCTGAAGACAGGACTCGTGTGTCTTCAATAGACCTCAGAGCAGCTTCACTGTTCATCACGGGTGTTCAGGAGCGACTGCTCCTAGCATTTTATTTAGCCCATTACAACACTTTGAAAAGAGTCCCACGACAGGCAAATCATGAGGACGAGAATGTCCCGTGAGTGAACTCATCTGTTGGACAGATTATAGTCACGTCTTCTACTTGTGAAGTAGGATTAGAGGAGACTGTCCTGAACTAATCTTAGAAATGGATACTGTAAGCTAGGGGAAAAAAATCTTCAGCTTTTAAAAGGAAGCAAGCCAGTTTGTAAGAACACAGGTAATTACTACAAAATAGTTTTCCCTTGCTACTTGGCTGTTCAAAGTTACAGTGACAACTTGCCCAGCATTTGAAGACTTCCACAGATAGCCACCTTACTGTGTCTTATTTTAGTCCTAATGATAAACTTATAGTATTATAACACTGAGGAAAATTGGCAACACAATTTTAATAAAATGCACTAGGCAGTATTTCTTTTGGTTTACTTTCAGACATCTTAGGCTTCGAGAAAGGCCCTTCTGTTTATCAGTTGCATACATATTAATGAGCTCAGGTTCAACCTAAGGATAATGATGACCTGGCGGCTGTTA